CACAGGGTCGGCGCGGCTGCAAAGAAGGCTCTGTCTCCTGTTGTCTTCTTGGTCTTGTTGGGCAGATCGAGCAGTAAGTGTTTTTTATTTGATCGCAGGTTATAATTTGACTGTGGCTTAAGTCTAATTAATTGATGAATATATGTGGGAGCACTACCATGTAGAGCTTTGAATGTGTATACAACCAATTTAAACATTATACGGTATTTAACTGGTAGCCAATGCAAGTCTTTCATAACAGGAGAAATGTGATCAAAACGCGTGGTATTGGAAATAAGCTTTGCGGCAGCATTTTGAACCCGTTACAACTTGATAATATAGCTGGCTGGTAAGCCGTACAGTAGACTGTTACAGTAGTCTAGGCGTCCAATTACTAGTGCTAAGATTATTAAGATTATTAAGATTACGTCAGTTCTCTTTGATATGGATAAGAAAGAATGTGTCCAAGCTACATAGGACCGGATAAAAAGGTGTTATATTTGCAACACTGTTCCTAGGTCTGACTGTTTATTTTGCATCTAATAAAGAAATAAAGAAAGAAAGAAAAAAAACAATGGCTTGTCAATATTCTTTTGCGTTTTTCTGTGATTGAAGAAAATAGGAGTCCTTGCGTTACTTCCTCGTTTTTGATATCTCGTAAGCTGAAAAGCTTAAGGCAGACAAATGCTCGCATTCAAGTGTTTATAGGATCAGTTTCGTATCGCTGATTTGATTGGGGATCACTCCTCATGAAAAGCAAGTTCAGTTGAAGGCTGTTGTATGCTATACTTATCTCTTTTTTTGTGGTTATCTTACAACATCATATATCTTTGAGTTCAGTATAATGGGTGGTGCATACTTTCGTGATTTGCATCTCATTTGATTGAAAGTACAGGAACGACATGTGTACGAAATAACCTTCCACATTAAACCAAATGCAATGACGGAAAGGTTGAAAAGGAAAAACAACTTATGTAAGAAGGGACGTATGAAGATGTACGAGATTTGGTAATAAACTCTATTATCAATGAGAAAAAATAACTTCCACTTTTTTTAACTGTAACTTNCATGTGTACGAAATAACCTTCCACATTAAACCAAATGCAATGACGGAAAGGTTGAAAAGGAAAAACAACTTATGTAAGAAGGGACGTATGAAGATGTACGAGATTTGGTAATAAACTCTATTATCAATGAGAAAAAATAACTTCCACTTTTTTTAACTGTAACTTAAAGAATAGCCAAGGATCTCAGCTCAGCTCAGCTCAGCTCTAAAATAACATCTAGTAAACCGGCCGTTTTCTGCTTGTTTGTTCTTTTTCTTCTTGTTTGTTTCGTTCATATTTTTTTTTTCTGGAGACTCAGGACTTATTCGACTTATGGAATTGGCTACCACTTTGAAATGTTAAGTAGCCAAGTGGATCCTACAAAAACGAGTTAATTTAATGCCCTGGCAGTAACAATGTTTCGGTTGTTCTGCATTGATCGATGTTAAACGTAACTTCGAGCAAACCAATCCATTTGAATGTTTCTTTACTTTACTTTAGTTGAAAATCGATCTCAAAAATAGTCTCGCTCTGCACTCTATTTTGTCGTCAATATTCAAATTTCAGAGTCTTTACATCGGGAGGTTATTTTTAAGCATGATTATAATTCCTTTTAAACCGGTCGAAAAGTTCACTATAATTAACTTTTGGAAGGTAGTATTAAGTCGAATCCCGTATTTTCGAGAGGAGTTAAAAGACTAGACATTAGCTAGACATTGAAAGTTGAGCAGGAAAGGTAATAACCCCGGGAGTAATAAACGAGCCTACTGTTTCTAAGCCTTGGCAGTCGAGTGCTTTTAATTGGGTAGTTGGTAACCGTAATAAGGGCCCAACAACGTTTTATTATTTTGATTCACCTGACAGAGCTTTTTCTTCTAAGAAATGAAATAATTGTGACAATCAGAAAGAAAATCTGTACCTCACCTTCCTCCATGCATGGTTGTTGCTCCTCGTCTCCTCGTAGGTGTGAGAAAATAACCATTTGACCTACACCCATCCAAACCTCTTATTTCATTGGTTCGTGTAACCTGCACTACCTACTGTTTTCAGGGATAGGGGCAGGTGACTTTTTTGGCGCGAAAATACCTTCGACTTTGCTGGAGGGAGGTGTGGGGGGTTGACGTCGTTGTTTTAAGCACTTTTTGGAATACACATATTTTTCGAGACTGGTAAAGATCATTATTAGGATATTACCACCATTTTTATGTTATTTCTTTCATTAGGATTTACTTAATTATTTTTTTAACCTTTTGAATTTTTATCCCGTTACTCGTTTTCTCGTTATTCCGTTACTCGTTACTCGTTACTTCGTTACTCTGTTTAGTAACACCCGTCCGAGACCCGCGAAACCGATAACCCCCCCCCCCCACGTCTAAAATAATTATTGGATCGAAGTAAAAATTATATTTATGTCAACAGCTTACCTAGTGCTACTTTGTGAATTTTTTGGAGAATTTTCTATTTTTCCCTTTTGCAGACTTCTGGTCGATATTTACTGACATCCGCTCTTAAGGTTGCTTCAGAGAAGAGTGATGCATGATCCATGCATGTGTCTCATAGCCCGCGGTGCATTATTGTAGCAAGTCTAGTAAATTATATGCCCGCAACGAGCCTAGAAACCTAGAAAGCAAACGCTGCTGACGCTTCTATGCTATGTCAGCAGAACGTTAAGACAATGTATTTCAAAACACTGAATCCTACGCTTTTCAACTTAAGACTGTGATTTGAGGTTAGGTTTTTCTATGTGGTAATATGCAAATGCTGCAAATTTTCAAAGAGTTTGCTTGGCTCGTGTTCGTGCGAATTTTGGATGGAGTTAAAAGGAATCAATTTCAAGGCGATTGTTGAACAACAATAAATAACTTAACGTTACATGTTTATCTTAAAACTGAATAAAAAAGGATAGTGTTGATTTGCTTCATTGAAATAACAGTATTCTGGCCTATGCAAAAACGCAGCTTAATCAGGTGGTAAAAACCCTATTTATTTAATGTTGTTAAAAGAAGAGGCTTCTAAACTTTTTACCTTGAGATTTTAAAATGAAATTTTTCAGCTCGCTAATGCTTAAGAATTTCAGCAGTCATTTGACTTGAAAGCTCTCTTGAACGCCCTTTCACAAAATGGTCTCCATTATTTCAATGAAAGTGAACAAGCCTAAACTTCCTGCTACTAAAGGGTTTTCCATAGTGCACTGCAGGCTATGAAACATAGTTGATAGAAACAACCTTAATTGAAATAGGTGTATATATACCTTCAGGCTTGGTCCCTGCAAAGCCATTTGAGGAATTAATGAACTATTAATCGCGAGGCTAAACGACTGAACCGTATGATTTTCTCTTTTTCAGACTGTAGCAGCTGCTCGTAAGTTGTCTTTTCATTAGTGGTAGAAAACAACACAACTTGTTTATCAAATTTTTCCAGTTATTTTTAAGTTTAAAGTAGCAAACCATTTGGCTTCTAGGGTTAGAAAATCTGCTACATGACTTCTATCCTGAAAGAAGAAAATTATTAGGCCGCCAAATTGATCCTTTTGGGTTTTTCAAAGTTCTCCTTTATTAACAAACGCTGAAATTTTATTCCGGCAAACAAACAGTTTAGTTGAAAATTGATTCTACAAAAATCTCAAAAGTAAGTCTCCTTTTCGATTTAAACTTGCAATATCGATCCGTTTAAGCAACTTCTAAACTCCTTGGTCAGTTTTCGTTTGCTTGTGCTTTGAAAATGGCTGTGTTATTACTCAGAGGCAAAAAGTGTAAAGATTTGTAGAGAAAAACTTGCCAATTTAAGACTAAACATGTACTTTAAAAACGAGTTAAAATATTCAAAACGCTATGGTCACGTGGCTGATGCAAAACCTTAAATATGCTTTTTGTTTTTAACTCGATAATGAAATCTTGTCACCACAACAAAAAAAAAACTAATTTGCTAATAGTCACGTTATCCATGACGTCATTACCCAATATGACATAGGAAGATATTTTATGGTAAATGTTATCTTGTTGTGCTCTGACATTCTTCTTGGTATAAAATTGTCAAAGTTATAAAAAGTATTTTTACAAAAATATTATTATTATTATTATTATTATTATTATTATTATTATTATTGTGGTGATGATGATGATGATCTATTTTTCCTGGTTAGCCTACATTTCTTGTATTTACGATTGCTGTTGTCCAAAAGATCAGGTCAAAAATCAAAGAAGCCCTAAGCTGAATATTTGTTTAATCGTATCTATAAGCTTTTGTAACTTTCGAGTAAGTTTTACCACATTAATTCATGTTTCCATGAATTTCGTCACGTTCTATAGAAAAAAAAATAAGGGATAACATGTGTATAAAATTTACGTTTTTGCTAAAAGCCTTGTACATTGAAGAAAATACACTAAGAAAAAGGGAAAAGAGCGACGAACTGAAGTAGGATAAAAACCTCCATCACATACAGGTAACGACCAATTTCACTTGAGGAATGCTCAAATTATTCTTAAACTAAAGATTACCTACATTAAATCTCTCAATTACTGTTGGAAAGCTAACAAGAGGGTAATTAAATCTAAGATCCGTTGCGTGACCCAGGGAATTGCCTATCATTAGGAGTATTAACTGCAATAATATTAATGATTGACGATGACTACTTTCAATAAACTTTATTGCTCTTGTTTGAGTTATCTCTCTTTTATTTGCTATTTTTTCAAATTAAGTTACATATATATTAAGCACAGCTCAATCACTCTAGGTTACCGTAATTACTATTAGATTCCTCTCACGTCCAAACAACTAATTTGACTTACAACAATCCATGCTATCTTGTCAAAACGACGCACAAAAGCGAGGCTTATTGAGCACGCGAAATCTAAGCCATGTAAATTACCTCAACATGTTTCGCGCAAGTAAACTACTTGAATTGTTGTTTTATTTTTCTAGAAAAGCCGAAAGAGGAACACTTCGTCACCCGGAATCGAGGGAGGGAGACTCCCGTTAGGACTGGGGTCTAGACGCTTCCTCTATCATTATCCGGGACACTGAATTCCACCCGGTAGTAGCATCACCCAGTGTATGACTGCTACACTGTCCTACCCATAATTCCACTCTAACCTCCCCTTGTGGAATGTTTTCACAGTACCCCTCAAATGACCGATGATGCAGCAGATTAGGGTTCCCTGATGACCAGCCGTTGTAAACAAGAGCCTCAATCGTCATTGGTCCAGTGCATTCGTTTCCATTGAACTTAAAATACCAGCGATTACACTTATTATTACTGTGGACCCTCGTGTTTCCCTGGAATGAGACTTTAAGCGCTGTATCCGACTTCAACTTGTTAAAAGCACAGTCCTAAAAAAAAAAGTAAAACGTCTGCAACTCTAAGAATGCTAAATAACACAAACATTAATGCCAGCTGGAGAAAGGTTGATTGGGGATGAAGGCTGAGGGGATTAGGGTTGGGGACATAGCTGTTCTTTCCACCTATGGTGATCGTCTGTGATATTTATAAATAGTTCGTGTTTAGTTTAGTGCCTTTCTTGTTTACCTTAATCTTTCCGCTATCAGCACCGTGGGCTACTTTCCAGATCCACACACATTGTTTCCAATTGGTTTGTGGTACTACAGTTGCTTGACTTGCTTTGGCGCTTTCTCCTTTCTCTCCTTTGTCTCCTTTTCTTCCTTGATTTCCCGCAATGCCTGTCTCTCCTTTCATTCCGACAAGCCCCGATTCACCTTTTAATCCCATAATTCCTGGCGGTCCGCTCTTCCCGGGAGGACCTTCGCGCCCTCTGTCTCCTCTTAGACCCTGCTCTCCTTGCGATCCTTTATCACCAATTTGTCCTTTTGGACCTTCTCTTCCCTGGGGCCCCTGCGGCCCAGGCACGCCCGGCACTCCCTGCATACCATTTGATCCTGGAATGCCTGGAAAACCATGACTCAGTATAGATTTCTAAAAGTAAAAATGTGTAATTAAAAGAAGAGCCATAGCCTATTATAGCTGTGAACGGAGGTAATGTCTTCAGAGAGTAACTGCAGTCTGTCTTAGAGGCAAAGCGGGAGTGAAAGCGTACATATTCAGTAAGTAATGAAGAACGGTGGGAAGTTTTAATCAAAATTTATGAAAACCTGTAATAATCCATGTGAAACAGGAAGTTTTAATAAATAACCTAGTAGGAATTTTATATCAAGGGTTATTTTTAATTAGTAGGGCTACTTATATTGATAAAGAAAGCGGTCGGGACAAACGGTTAGCCGAACTCCCAGTTATCCCCCTAAGCAAAACGAAATATATCTTTATTTAAAGAAAGAAGAACAATAGTAATCAAGATGATGATGATGATGATGGCATTGAATATCGTCGGCATAAGATAGTGTTTTTGGATAAAAAGCAAGGATGGTGTCATATAATTGTTATAGTAGCCCCTCAGGGACCTACCCGAAGGTTAAAATTGAAAACGGAAAGGCGGAGAACTTCAAGGATTTAAGAATAAAAGTTATTCGGCTAAGGAATGTAAATGCTTCAGAATTACGTAATATCAGGCGGCTCCTGGTAATATATAGTTGGAGCTTTGGTTAAACTTCAAGGATTTAAGAATAAAAGTTACTCGGCTAAGGAATGTAAATGCTTCAGAATTACGTAATATCAGGCGGCTCCTGGTAATATATAGTTGGAGCTTTGGTTATGGTGTCAAATGCAAATTCTTCAGACTAGGATAATTATTGCTGGGTTTAAAAAAAAAAAAACTATAAAAATAATGATATTAATGACGATGATGAGAAGGAAGACGATTTAATAACCAAATTAATGATAATGATAACCATAATAATAATGAAAATGACGATAACAATAATAGCAATGATGTTAATACTAATAACGATAAATTAATGATCAATTTTTAACACCAAAAAAATCTTAAAGGCTAAGGATATTTTAACATAGTTTATGGTGGAAAGAGAAATTCCTTTTTAAAACAAAGCTCAGTCTCTCTGCATTTCATTTTGCTGCTTGTCTTCATAAACAATACAACCCTAAAAAGGAAAAGTCCACCCTCAATTTAATTGACATGACACAGCCGTCAATCGATACCTGTCTATTACTCAGAAACTGCGAAATAAATTGTTTAAAACTGGGTAGATCAGAAAGTACAAATCCGTGAAACTAACCTTTGGGGCAAATTTTGTGAGGCAGACTTAACAACAGAAAAGTTGAGGTTTACGTTATTTATCAGCTAAATAATAATTCGTGGACCTCAGGAAAAGCACAGTGCCTTATGGCGAAGCTGGCATTTTTATTGTGCCAATATAAACTCCGTTGCAGACCTTTTTGATGCGATTTTTTTTCCACCCACTGCCCGAGACACAAAAATATCAGCTAAAACAGAATAATCGTTTCATACCTCGCATAAATCTTTTAACTTTGCGGTGTTTTGTTGCTGAGGTGAGGTGGTTGTTCCCAGTGAACCGCCAGAGAAAGAGAAAACCAAGAAAACAGCGAAATACTGAACCATTATTAGAGCTCAACCAGAACACTGCGATTACTGAAATCAGTGCTACGTGCACATCGGTTAAATAGCAAGTATTTGTTTTGTTTCTGTTTTGATGTTGCTAGTTACGTCTTTATTTTATTTCCTTTTATGGTAGAAATATTTGTTTGTTTTCCTTCTCGAACAAGCTTCCTTTTTAAAGTGAGTCGTTATACGTGCAGTTACAGTTTCATTTATATATATATATATATATATATATGTACTTAAATCACCATATCATTTACCTCATATCCTTTACCCACCATATCATTTACCTGTGCACGTTTCGTTTGACTTCGTGATTTTTATTTTGCAGAAACCTTTTTTACTAGATCTCAGTATACGTTTGCACGTTTGAGAACTTGGACATTGTACTGAAACGAATGCGTAATTTTGGTCATATGTAGTAGTAGTAACTTTGTTATTTGCATGATACATGTTGCCTCATTTTTCTTGATAATGCCCTGTTTTCTTTTTTAGTTCTAACCCGCAAAAAAATTAGGGTTGCAACCTCTTGAAAGCACCCACTTCCAGGGGGTTGGTGCTTATTATTAAATTACAATTTTAATTCAGCGCCAGCCACGCAAGTTCCAACCTGACAAAGTTCATTATCTATTATTAATAATATCCTTTGAAGGTTATGTTGCTAAGCATTTATCATAAGTAATGAACTCTTTGCAAGGAGAGAAAACGGATAAGTAACAACAAAACCAGTTAAAATCAAACGCTATGCCAAGGCATAATGTTATTTATGTCGATACCATGGCATTTTTTTTAGACGGTCTTCAGGGGTTGTCTCGCTGAACAGTTGGTCATCCGACTCGTGTTAACCTAACCCCTCTTTCAAGAGGTAATCATTTTCATCGCTCTATTAAAGGGGCTATGTCAGCTGGAGAGCATGCGCTCTGAGGTTATGCAAATTACTTCCAACTGTCAAAATTCTATTGTTTTTAACGCGTGACTTTCTCCATGTTCTCTGTCACGTCCAAGGTTCCGAATTTAGAGAGGTTAACAAGCGAAATGGGTTTAGATAAGGGATATTTCGATAGAATTTACGGAACGTTTCTTCTCTGGTTATGCTAGATCAAGAATATAATTGTGACGACAATTTTACTTGTAGTTTTGGAGTAAAAACGCATGCCATTTATAAAATAGTGCGCAAACAAAAATTCAACAACAACATATTGTCTTATTCAACAAAATAGGTCGAAGTTGTACTTTACAAACGAGCTACAAAAGACCCTAGACTTAAGATAAAGACCAAGACTGTTTCAAATCATTAACAATTAGACTTGTCTGTCGCTAGTGATTTTATAATTTAGATGCTGATAGAACAAGAGACATCAAGTCTTTGTTTTGAACTTAGGGAAACATACATTATCGCGCAAAATTGTTCGATCTTGCCGAATCACTGCGACGTCGAGAAAAACAGAACCAAGCATCATTGGTATACTACTCCACTATAAGCAGTCCGTTGATAAAAAGGGAAAGTAGACTCTGCTATTTTCCAAAAATATGCTCGAACACAAACAGTTCAAAAACATAGCATTTACAGGATCTAACTCGATCGTACTAAGGTGCCTCTCTAAGTCCGTTGACAACAATCTGGACGAGCAAACGGTCGTGTTTATCTTTGCCGTGAATCCAGATAAATACAAGACGGAATCTAGCCGAATTTTATAATGTTTCCTTCGCCAGGAGTTTAGTTTGGTCACGAAACTCATGGCCTGATGCTCTTGTAATCGTTTACCAAAAACGGCCGCCGCCAACTCGATAGCCGCTTCATTATATGTCCACATACTTTGAGCACAAGAAAAATCCAAGAGCCAGCAACCCCTAAAATAACTCAATAGAAAGGTTCTGTGAACTATAGGGAAGATTCCATCAAAGATTCCATCACTCATTGTGGAGTAGCCGTCATTAACTCTGCCATTACAACGGCCGCTGATAAGAGGACACAGTAAATCCACGTAAAAACATTCCACAGGCAAACAATGTCAAAATAACGCCGAAAAATTATTCTGTAATCACCATAGAACGATTACGCCTACTCTGGGACCTTAAGTCGCCTAAAGTCGCCCAAAGTCGCCTTAAGTCGCCTAAAATCGCCTAAAGTCGCCTAAAATCGCCTTAAGTCGCCTAAAGTCGCCTTAGGTTGCCTTTAGTTTCCTTAAGTCACTAAATCATTCAAATCATAAAGAGATTCAAATTGTCTTGTAGTTATTACTTTTTTAGTTTTGTATTTCCAGAATGCATGATTTCTCATAAAGTGTGTAATAACCTGTGTTTAATAATATTAGCCACAGACCCACCTCACCCCCCACAAAAAAATCCCACGGTGACATGACCCATTAATTTCTTCTCCAGCCCTCTAATTTGTACATTTAATTACTTTACACAATTTACTACACGTAATAATTAGTCGTAAGCAATACAAGAATAATCATTCCTGTATTGTTTATGCAAAATTGACAACATATAGTAAACAACTGTATCCAGTCACTTGTACAGGTATTTTATTAATTTCATCCGGAAGGTTTGTCTTATATTTCTGAGTAAAAATATTGTTTAAAAAGGCATTCAAAGGTTCAAGTTCTAGCTAAATTACATTAAACGGTGTGCAAAGAGAGTAGACAGAGTAGTGTCCAGGCAATGGCCCTGGGGTACTGGATTTTATGATTGGGCTAGTGAACTGCGTTTTTAACTTGCCTGGCTGGCAAGTAAAGTCTTTTAGGAAATTCAGATTACAGAAGAACTGTAATCAGTCCCATTCATAAAAAAAATTGGGGTTAGTCAAAATGGCTTTCAGGCTAGTGTATTGCTAGGCAAGCTGTAAAGCTGACTTTCTTTGCACCATGAACAAAATATAATTTAAAAAATGAGTCTCTTTTCTACTGCTTTGTGAGAGTCCAACATTGAAAGACATTTCAAGTTACTAAGATCAATACAGGTAGGTTGCAGGGAGGAAAAAAAAAACAATTATTGCCGCCACAACATTAATCTAAATTTTCAGTTAGTTAATACAAGTCTAAAGGTCAATCGAAAAAAGTTTCCATGTAAATTACTGACCCAGATTTTAAGGGCAACTAATGATAAGTTTTTTCTCCAGCACACAACCTCTGATCTGTATTTACCGTCGAATTATATCCATCTATCATTGACAGAAACACAATCACTTCTCCCTGCCAAACGATTTGATGTAATCGACCATTATTGATGAAGAACGTAGAAAAGCGAAATAATACTGCTCTGATCCTCCACGTTATGGCCGCCCAGAAAATATAGTGTGTTTTGACCACGTGACTAACTGGTCTGGAGGCGGGGAGAGGGCGGGACCGAGAAACAATGGAAATTAGCTTGCGACGGCAGTGGAATTCTGGGAGAAGCAAAATGGCGGATAGAAAAGTGCTCTTGTTGTTGTCAATTGTACGTCGCGTTTTCGTTTAAGGATCTCCTTTTAAATGGAAATTTCTGACATAATAATGGAAACGTTTACACCTGGTACTACCATCGGTTTGAACATGACGCATGATGCTTCCTTTTGTGCTGAGAGCGTAAATGCTGCCGCGTGGAACAGACCGAGCAAGGTTGGTTGAAGCTAAGCTTAAGCTTGTTTCTGCAGGTGCATAAATGCACTCATGAAATCAACCCGACTGGAAAGTTTCGAGAGAGACCATGGATAAGAGAGTACGGTTCACTAGCGAAGCAAGTATTTGGAAGTGTTTTGTTTGACTGAGACAGGACAGGAGCAATATATATACGGCGAGAACTACAAACTTTTTGTTTTGAATTCAATTGGAAAAACATCCTCTTAGCCAAACGTGTGGGGACAAACATTGGCAGAGCAACTGCCAAGACATACAATGGGGATCGTCATTTCCATAATGTGTGATATCGATAAGTGATTTTAGATGTTTTAAATTAATTACTTAAATGTTTGTTGTCAAATTATGACAAAGACACTTCAATATAAAGTTTTTGCTACAAACCAGCTTATAGTATTTTACAGAGATGTATTGAAATACTCTACTTTTAGGGTTTTATTTTTTGGAAAAAGAAATGCAGGAACCATTGATTTTTTGTCCCTTATATTATAAAATAATGCATTTAAAGACCAAAAGAAAATTTACCCTTTTGGTTGCTTCTAACTCAGATTTTCTCTCTGCTAATGTAATACTAAACCAAAACCCTTGATATTAGCCTGTGCCACAGATGGAACTAAACTCTGGGTTAAGTCCATCTGCAAAACAGCGGCAAAATCCTAGTTCTGGGCCCCCTGTGTGTGTATCAGGGTTAGAGAACACGCCAGGACTGGACTGTTAAAAATGCCATTGTCCATTTGCCAATCATGTTGAAGGGAAACTCAAAATGCTGGTAATTCATTTAGTGCATCAGAGCCCAGAACAAGGATATTAGAGCTGCTTCGCAAATGTTACTGACCAGGGTTAGAATACACCTGCAGCACAACCTACCTTGATATTTAATGTTCAAAATATTAGGTAGCTGAGATTGTTAAAAAATATGGAAGACTAATGTAGATGTCTTCAAGACTGAATTAACCTATGCTACAACATTGTGTCCCTAGAGAGGTAGTGTTATCAGATTTTGATTTTGTATATTTTGTAGTTCATTTTTATCTCAGTTAATTTTTATTTTTCCATCGTTTCTGGGTATGGTTATGTATGCTAAGGAATTTAAAACAAAGGAAAACCAAAAATTAACTGAAATTAAAAATTAACTGTAACATATTCACTAACACGTAACTCACCTAAATGTCACCTTTTTCTCCTTAAGTCGCCTAAAGTCGCCTTAAATCGCCTTAAGTCGCGCAACATTTTGACCAAATTTTCCTAAAGTCGCCTTAAATCGCCTTAAGTCGCCTAAAATTATGGCGACTTAAGGTCCCAGAGTAGGCCTAACGATTCTTAATACAAAACTTCGCTAACTTTCGAACGATGGCTGAGATTTAGACAGATAAAAACAGC